TAGAGCACTCAATACAATTGCACAATGCAATTAAATCTCACAACGCAAAGAATATAACCAGAGGTACACGAGTACAACACTACATCACACATTTTAAGCACTACAAACGTACAACGGTCTGCCTTTACAACACTGGTTCGATCGCGTACGTCACAGTACCGCAACAAACATTGTGACTCTCTCGACATACACTTGTGACACCGAATAACAACAATATTAATACAGCATTTTGCACTCAGTGCTGCCAGACACATTCCGATTCGACCTCAGCACCTATCCTGTGTACTTCGAGCGGCGCTTGCGCCCTTTCTTGCGGTGCTCGCTCGATCTCTTCTTATTTGCCCTCGTTCTGTTCCAGCGAGCTCTTCCACTCGACGGTATCTGAGGCGGCGTCTCAGCCATCGTTATCACTTTTGACACCGTTACCTGGTCATAACATTAAGCTGATCTTGTCTGGCTTTTCCCAAGCTTGTTCACGTCACGACATTGAGTCTGGCTGCCCGACGCCGTCACCTTTTCACTGTTGGTCGGTTGAGGTCGTGCCGCTGTAAGACAAGCTGCAAGGCACGTTCTCTCCTTCAACACGATTATCTCCTGATTCACGACCTCTTGCACCTAGGCTTCACCTTGATCTTGGTTTAAATCCTTCCCGGAATGCCCCTCCCCTGTATCTCGCGGTTCCAGTGTCGGCGAGGACTCCATCTTCGGGTCTTGCCCCAAACGTTCTGGATCATTCTGCCCTAGCGCCCCGTCGATGTTTCCAACGATGAGGTCGTACAGGGAGTTCGTCATACATAGGGCAGTAACCTTCCCGCTAAAGTGAAGGGTTTCAACTTCAATCTCCGCTTCAGGAACCATCCAAATTATGCTTTCAATTAGGCAAAAGGATTTCGTTTTGCCTGTTAACTCACTTTCCCGTACCAAGTTTCTCCGCACGATAACCGTGGAGCTACCTGTGTCTCTTACTGTAATCTTCTTGCCCGCAACTTTTCCAGGCAGCGTTGGCATTCCCTTCGTGACACCGGTTCATCGTTTGGTCATTAACACCCACAATAGAAAGTTTCTTCCCATTTTCAACTCCATGAATCCGCCGGTAACGTCATCATCATCGGCTTTCAGTGCCACCTGCACACAGAATACTTGGTGAGTTTGACTCGCTCCGTTACGACATGCGTCTGCCTTGTGGCCGGTCTGACCACACTTGAAACATTTTACAACCGTAGGTCTCGTAAAGGTAGTTCGACAGCTGTTAGCGCGATGACCCACTCGGTTACACAGCAAACATCGTAGAACACTCTCCGGGGCACGCTTCTTTTGCTCGGGGGCCGATTTCTTCGAACTTTCGGGACACTCCTTCTTGTCTTTGGCCAACTTTGTGCCACCTTGCGCTTCCAAGAATTGGTCGGCCGATTCAAGCTTGTCTTCAAGTGACTCCGCTTTCCTCTCTTTCAAGTACAGCGACAGGGTTCGGTGGCAACTGGTGAGAAATTGCTCTCTAATATGGAGTTCTCTAAGCTCAGCATACTCCTGTGCTGTCCCTGAAAGTTCGATCCATCTGTCAAAATAATGGCAAAGTTGGGCGGCGTACTGCATAGCCGTCTCCCCACCAGCTGCTTTTCCTGTTCGATATATGTCCCGGAATCCTTCCACAGTAAACCTAAATCACTTCAGTAAAGCAGCTTTCACCTTTGCATAGTTGGCTGCATCGGTCGGCGTCAGCCTACCGTACACACTGAGTGATTCGGCACTCAAGCAGGTACTCAAAGCAGTTGCCCATTGGTGTTCTGACCAATTCTAGCTTCTTGCAATCGTCTCAAATCTGTGAAGGTATGCGTCGAGGTCGTCCTTCCTTTCATCAAACGCTACAAGCAGCTTGCTAGGGTTCAAGCGGAAGCCATGATCTTCCCATCGCTGCTTTCAACTCTAGCTTGGACGGGAGTTTCACTTCGCTGTTGCAAACGGAGCCGCTGGAGTTCCATGTCGTGCTGCCGCTGCCGTTCCCTTTCAGCCATCTCCGCTTCTCTTTCTTCTTTCGCCCTCTCAGCTGCCAGCCTCACTTTCTCTACCTCAGCTGCTTTTTCCCCTTTGGCTTTTTCAACCGCCAACTTTTCTTTTTCCAGCTCTATTGCCTTTTCTTCTTTTGCCATCTCTTTTTCTTCCTTTTCCTTCTAGCTGACCAACTTCCGTAGTTCGGCGCCAGAAAGACCCACCTTCTCACCAAGAGCTACTAACTTCTCAAGGTCCATGGTGTCACGCAGATAAATCCTTGCCACGTGCACAAAATATCTGCCTAGATTAGTCTATCGAAACACTCTCTGCACACTCGTTAACGCGAACACTAAGCAGCACACCAAAAAAATGTTCCGATAGCACTATCAACGACTGAAGGCTCTTTCTCACTACTTTGGTCACACTGTGAACCAAAAGGTTCTGTCGCAGACACCAGAATAATTGTCACAGGTCCCGTTAATTAGGAAGGCGATCGCCGGGCTAATCCTAAAGGCCGACGTATCGACCCCCGAACTGCACCACGAAAGCGCGGACAATTTAGAAGTGGTCCTACTTGTCGCGCCAGCCGACGCTGGCTGTGGTCCGAAGAACGAGTCAGAGCCGAGAGTTGATAAACAAAGCAAAATTATATTCTCGAATATGGCAGATAAAACGATACACAAATATGCTCACTCAACAATAGTTCAATACGATTTGTCAACAATCAAACAACGTACTACAGAGTTCAGTCAGCTACACTCGAAACAATGGACTCAAACAACAATACGCGCTACAATGCAATCACATGCTTCGAACAACCAAGACACTTTAAAGGCTAAAGAGTTCGAAAAGTTATTCAGTCCAAAGTCCTTGGAACAATGTCTGAATGATACTATTCCAAAAAGCACTCACTCAAAGTCCAGTGCTGTTGTCGTTCCGCTGCCCCGAAGTTTCTCCTCCAGGAAACCTAGCGTATTCAATTTGCCGCTCTTCAAGCACCGACTTCTTGGCCGGTAACACATCGGCTTCCCACGCACAGCTGTTCCAACGCGTTATCGCTCGCTGGTGGTAGACCCACTCTTCTGCTTGTAGCACGAGTCTTCACCCTTCAGGTGGAAAAACTCTTCATTACCTGCTTTGTCACTGAGGAAAAAAGCCTTCGCCGATACGGTGGAATGCTACGGCACATTTCCGCAAAACTTTCATCTCCTGCCTACACACACGGGCGCAAACTTTTTTCTTCTTGTGATATCTCTTCTCCGCTGCTCGATCAAATATCTTTCGCGCTAGATTCCAGAAAATTCTAGTGATGGTCATAACCACAATACGTGTGGGGGCGATTGCAGTTCCTCGCCCCGATGGCAACGTTGCCGTTGCTGTACCGGTACAGAGGTGCAGTCGTTAAGCTGCACAGTGCAGCCGTATCAACCCGCGGCAGTGTCGTAGTGCCCGGACATTCTTTACTGACTTATGTTGTCATTGTTTGTTGGAGCTTGCAGCAGATTTCATTGTTCTTTTTGGGATATAGTTGGAGGGATGTGAGGGATGGATGTAAGGGAAGGTTGGAGGGATGTGAGGATGCTGACAGGCCTTGTGAAGTTGTTTGCGCCCCGTGGCGTCGGTGTGTCGCACTCAGGCCGCCTTTAGGGATCACAACAATTGAACGGTAGGTGGCGTTGTGCTTGCGAGCGTATATGACCACCACCATAATGATGTGATTGTTAAAACGGTGACGCCTGGCAGTAAGCCGGGGGAGGGGAGCGGCATGGGAGAGATGAGAGATGTGCGCCTTAGCGGGTCCTTTTGGCGTGTGGAGGTTGGCGTGAATGGTTGTATTTTGTGGTGGGTTTCCGATGCACGGCACCACGAGCCGTCTGCCGTGGGCCCTCGTGGTAAGTCAAGCGTTGGTGAAGCCACCTTGTGTGTTTTCTTGTGTTTGTCATGTTTTTGAGTGTTGTATAATGTTGTGTAAGGTTGTGTTAGTGGGTTGATCAGAATTGATGTTTATTGATTCAGCTGACGATATCGTCGACCTAAAGGTAGTTAACTAAATGTGTGTTGGTTCATTCGTTCCGACCACACCTGCTGTGTCCGTTCACTCTAAAAGAGTGGCCTTTTTTGCACAGCGAGATCCCACTTTGTATAGAGAAATGTATCTTCGCGCGCCCGATGGAGGGCCGAAGATAATCGGCGAAATCGGGAGAATTTCCGGTGCCGGTTTAGTCACGTATGAGCGAAACACTTCCGGAGCGACCTCACGTGGGGTATTCACATGTTCCACTCGCACATATGGCTTGTCAAAATCTGAGTGCTCACTTCAGTATTTCAGCGGCCGCTCCGGATCCACCAGTTGAATTCACCATTAGATATTCTAAGTCACAAATTCCACTTTCCTGTGGAGTTCTGTGAACGCTGAAAATGTGTCTTTTATTCACCTAATACAAATGTTTATTCGTATTGAGTTTATAAATCATACAGCGCACTAGTAGCATAAACGCAGTACACTAGTAAAATCCGTCTTTATACAAATGTTTCAATTTATGCAGCTTTCAGGAGAATACACTGTTCCCTGAGACCCAAAGCCAGTCATATGACTACACAAGCGAAAAACAACTATATATTTTGAACTGGTAGCCGAGCCGACTATATCGTTTAGGTTGTGTGCAACTTGGTATTGTATACTGTATACTTTTTAGCGGCCAGGCTCATCTGGGTGTCATTAGCAGCAGCGTACTCGGGAAGGGAGGAGGAGCTGCTTAACTCCACCCGCCCCCACGCGCAGTCCAACCTTCATTTTAAACATTTTGAAATGGTACGAAGCATTTCTTAGTTAACTTCGGCGAATTCGAACGAATCTATCTATCTATCTATCTATCTATCTATCTATCCGTACGACCTTTACCTCTCCTGGTGGTTTTGATAATTGTATCGATACTAAAATTGTTGACGAACAACATGGCTGTATGACGAGCATAATGGCTGTATGGCTGGGTGCGTCATGCCTGGGTGCGTCATGCCTGGGTGCCCGTCATGCCTGGGTGCGTATCGTGCAACTCTTTCAAAACAAATTGCCGGGCAGCTTTAGGCAGAACCACCGGGTGGCCCCAGTAGAGTATCCCGTTACTCACGGCCAATTCATGCCTCCGTGCAAAATACGGTTGGTACTGCTGTTCCTCTGAACCGAGACGCCTTGGCCAGCCTTGCAAGATCCAAGTCTTCACTTGCTGAAGTACGTCATCTTTGCTGGTGTGGTCTGAAATACTCTGCGCAGACAAAACAAAATCATCCATAGCCTGCGCATGCAGGACATATTCGGCTAGTTCATTTTCCCAGCCATTATTGCGAACCGGTAATGGCAACCGGCTTAGAGCGTCGGCATTTGCATTTAGCTCTCCTTTTCTGTATTCCAAGTCGTATTGATAAGCTGCTAAGAGCAGCGCCCAACGTTGAATGCGGGCCGCTGCCATTTGCGGAATGGGTTTATCTGGACCTAGCAAACCAGTCAGAGGCTTGTGATCGGTCACCAGAGTGAACTTGTTGCCAAACAAATAATCTCGAAATTTTACAACGCCGAAGACCAGCGCTAGTGCCTCCTTTTCCAATTGTGAATAATTACGTTCCGCCGACGTTAGAGTTCTCGAGCGGAACGCTATGGGATGATCCACTCCTTGTATGCGGTGCGACAAAACTGCGCCTATACCCTCGGCCGACGCATCACACTCAAGCCTCAAGGGTCTTTGGGGGTCGTAATGCACAAGAAAGTTCGCCCTTCTCATGGCGCGCTTGGTTTCTTGGAATGCTGTTCTCTGTGCGGGCCTCCAACACCACAGTGCTCCTTTAGACAAGAGTCGGTGTAACGGGGCCAAAGTGGACGACACGTTCGGTAGAAATTTGGAATAGTATGTGACCAGTCCTAAGAATGATTTAAGCTGGCTTACCGAAGTCGGTGGCGGTGCCGCTAGCACTGCTTCCAAATTGTCCTGCAGTGGGTGGAGGCCTTTTGCATCGATTCGGTGCCCTAAAAATACCACTTCTTTCTCCCGGAAGTGGCACTTCTCCTTGTTCAGTGTTAGGCCGTTCGCCCGAAGTCGTTCGAACACTTGCCGCAGTATCGTTGTGTCATACTCTTTTTCTGCTACAATAATGTCGTCCAGGTAAACTTTTACCCCTGGTATACCCTGCAGCACGGCTTCTATGCGCCGCTGAAACAGCGCAGGCGCTGAGGCAATGCCAAAAGCCAAGCGGTTGTAGCAGAAGAGGCCTTTGTGTGTATTCAACACAGTTATCTTCTTAGCATCATCATCCAGGGGAAGCTGGTTGTATGCGTTTCGTAAGTCGAGTGTGCTGAACACTTCGCCTCCTGATAGCGCCGCAAAGATGTCGTCAATTTTCGGAAGCGGGTACTGCTCTGTTCTTGTCGCTGGATTAACTGTTAGCTTAAAGTCCCCACACAGCCGGATGTCTCCGTTCTTCTTTACTACGGGCACGACCGGTGTTGCCCATTCAGCCACGCTCACTGGCGACAGCACGCCCACTTCCACCAGTCGGTCAATTTTGGCGGAAACTTGCGCTCTCATGGCATACGGGACTGTCCGAGCCTTCAGAAATTGAGGTTGCGCACTTTCCTTGAGGTACAGCTTCACCGGTGGTCCCTTACAGCATCCTAGGTTCTCAAAGAGGTCCGCAAACTCGTCAAGAAGTGCGGTTAGCTGGCTGTCGGCGTGAACAACATTCACCGAAGACGACGTGCCTTCTACTAGCAACATGCCTGCTTTACGAAATTCCTCTATCGTGTCCCTTCCGCACAAAAGGGGCCCTCGATGGTCCACTACTATCAGCGAACTGCTCACCGTTACTGGTCCAAGCTGTACCTGCATGTCTACCTTGCCAACGACCGGCAATGGTCCCAGGAAACATGAAAGGCGTAGTGGAGTTTTTTGCAGAGCCGGCCACCACTTGCGATGCTTCTTGTACAAGCTTTTGGGAATCACGCTTACTGGTGATCCAGTATCGACAATCATTCGCAGCCTACGGCCTTCCCACGTTAAGGTGCGCTCGATTGGCTGCACCAAGTGCTTATTGGCGGAACTGTGTGCAACGAGAGCATACAACCTCTCTTCTTCGCTTTCACATTCGGTTCCGTCGACAGCGAACGTTCCTGACCTGGGGGTGTGGGGTCTTTTGCAAGCCCTAGCAAGATGCCCTCTTTTACCACATTGATGGCATATGGATCTGCGATGTCGACCAGGACGCCGTTGCACGTTGACGCCGCCCCTTTCGGTCCGGGCGTGATGAAAGTACGCATGCCCCGAGCGCTTCAGTTTCGCTTCTCAGAAGCTAAGGCGATATCTCGGCTTCTTCACGAGTCAGTTCTTGCGGCCCAGCAGGGGCCACCGGCGCGTTTCATCCTCATCCCGAATCCCACAAACGCTTCAGGCCCGCCACATACGGTCCAGTGTCGCCCCGAAAGTACAAATTACGGCCAGTCTTCTCAGTTCAGCACTGTATGTGACCGGACGCTTTCATTGCTCATCTTGTTTTCGCATAAGAAAGGAATAAGCTTAGCTGCTATTTCGTTTGCCTGAGGGTGATGAAATGTTCTTCCAAAGCGTTTTCACAACGTCATCCGTACGTCAAGGAGTTGATGGCGACCCCACGGCTGGTGCCCTTGCATATCTGGACGGACCACTGTCGATCACGATGAAACCCAGTAGGGCCCGGCGATTTCGCTACGTCGGTAATATCGTTGCCCTCAAAGTAGGCTTCCAACCAGACACGATACGTGCTCCAGCTACTCACGGCGTCGTCGAAGGCAGGGGGTCGGGATCCAATTCTTCTGGTCTCAGCGTCGGAGTGCAATTAACCGGATCCCATCCTCGTCGCCACTGTAGTATCGTAAGGGCGAAGAATAAGACGATGCATGGCCAGAACAAGAAGGACCAATGTTTATTCACGAGGCTGCTGTCTTGGTTTTAATGCCCTGGCCCGAGGCCGGAGCATGCGCCATGGCGAGGGGTGGAGGCACGTGTTATCGGTATGTTCTTCGGCGCGTGCACCTGATAATCTACGATATATCACGTAAGTTTAAAGGACGACAACAGTAAATGACACATCCAAACGTGATAATGGTATGCTTGCCTTGCAAAACATGACTACATCCTTCGCTCATAGCGTGCTCGCGGCCGTTTCACTAGTTCCACATATACCGAATTCGGTATTGAGTGACGTATAAACATGATAATCATCGTAGTCGTTTGATGTAAAACACGACTGCATGCTAAGGTAATAGCGCATTCGCGCTCGTTTTGCTAGGTCAATATATACCGAATTTGGTATCACGTGACGTGAATAGATGACGATGGTGAATGACACGTTCAAAAATTATAATCATGACACAGAAGGTATGTACGGCATAATTTACATCCGCCTGGTAGCGTTGTGCTGATTTTAAAGTCACATACCAACCTTCTTCATTCGTTCTTTACATATCATCGATTCCCACTGCATGTAGGATCTGCGAATTTTTTGCAGTTGTGCATGTGCACGGACGCGCGCACACATGCATACCAACATACGAACGCTCATAAAGCTTGCTCAAAATCACCTTTTTCCCCCAAAAAAATATTTTTTGCTACCCTAATGGTCTCCACACTCTGGCAACATTCTTTGTAGTGTATTTCTGTTGACAATAGAACGTATATGATAACCCTACTCTCAATTTGATTGCTTTGATGAGAGAGGAAAGTTTGCTGTTTGTATCACAGTTCATTGGGCTTATGCTGAAGATTGCCTTTGCGAGTGCGTCATGCTGCTTGAGTTACGCTGGTGAAAAGCTCTTGAGAAGTAATACCTTCTAGTGACTTCAGGTACTTTTTGTTACTACATACAGCTTTCAAATAAAATACCGATCAGACTTTTAGTCTGAACAACAAGGCACGTTAGGTGTCATTTATTGCATTACTTTTGCGCAAAAAAACAGAAATTTGCAATTTATTTAAGGCTATCTTCTATCACTTTAGTGCCTACTATATGTTTAATATATAGCATGGGAAACAGGCTATCAGCACATATTTTAATTGTGTTCTTTGAGCTTGCTGTGTTTCTCTAAAAACTTTTAAAATTTTCAACTTCATTTATTACTGTTCGTAGAAAATGCCCTCGAAGAAATGATATACGTATGAAAATCAATATTTATAATGTTTGATCTTTTCATCACTTTGCCGCAAATACCACTTTATTTAGTGCCTTTGAAAACGTCTTTAAAACTGGTTGTTGGATTTTCCGACCATCACGAATGTGACTGAAAAATGCCTAATACTTCTTGAAAGGCCAAACTCGTCCTGGGCATTTATTTCTGTAGCCAAAAATTTTCCTTCCTATTTATGAGAGTCTGTATTTTGGCACTGACTGTGTTAGAGGGTGTGAGAGAGAGATATAATGAAGTTCACTCCTCTCTGTCTTTGACACCCTCTAGCTCCGTCGTTGCCAAACTACAGACTCTCATTATTAGAAAAGAAAATTTTTGGCTACAGAAATAAATACACAGGATGAGTTTCGCCCTTCGAAAAATATTTTGAATATTTTCAGTTATATTCATGATGGTCGAAAAACTATTCAATGATTTCGCGTGGAATCACCCTACATTACGCGACGTTTCACTGCAGCGTATCATACAATATATTGCGCAAAGTTTGGGGCACCACAACGACTACCATTTACAATAAACTGGAGATAATGTAAAAGAAAGTGCTCAGGCTCCTTGAGAATTATTTTGAGTACCAATAGGCTTACCAACCAATATTTCATTTATTAAAAGTGATTTGCTCTAGTCGAGTAAATTATACCACTAAGAACTTCTCCTGCACGTACATAAACATATTCTGTCAAACGTGACTAAAACACATTCGGACGATATACCTACGTAACAAGGAAATACCCCAACAGACACAAATTATGAAATATTTATCCTAACTTATCAGATACCCACCCTAAGAAATTGTCATCATTATCATCCTGACTGCGCCCACTGCAGTGTTTCCGAAAGGCCTCTCCCATGGTCCGCCAAACAACCCGGTCATATGCTTTTTAATTGCCACGTTATACCATCGAACATTTTTTATTCTCGTTGGCCCACCTAACTTTCTGTTTCCCCTGCATGCGTTGGCCTTCCCTGGAAGTCCAAAAAGTTACCTTTATTCACCAGCAGTTATCCGGCCTGTGGGCGACGTGCACGGTCTATGTCCAATTTTTTTTTTATTTCAACTACGATATTCTTAACCCCGGTATGTTCCCTCACCCACTCTGCTCTCTTCTTCTGTCTCAAGGTTACACCTATCAATTTCCTGTCCATCGCTCGTCGCATCGTCCCCAATGTAAGCTCAACCTTCTCTGTAAACCTCCTGGGTTTCGCTCCGTAAGTAAGTACTGGAAAGGCACAGCTGTTATATACCTTCCTCTTGAGGGTTAGTGGCAGATTACCATTCATGATTTGAGAATGCTTGCCAAATGTGATGCACCCCATCTTCATTTTTCTAGCTATTTCACTCTCATGATTCGGCTTCGCAGGTACTACCCCTGTTAAGCCGACATATTCCTTTACAACTTCCAGCGTCTCTCCACCTATCGCAAAGTTCTGTTTTTTGTCGAGTCTAATGAGCATTACTTTAGTTTTGTGCCTAACCATTTTCCGACCTACGTTCTGCATTCCGTGTCCAGTACAGTGATCATGAGCTGTAGTTCAATCCTGAGTCACCAATCAAGACAATGTCATCAGCGAAACGCAAGTTACAAAAAGACTCTCCATTAACTCTTATCTCGAACTTTTCCCAATCTAGGGACCTGAAAACCTTGTGTAAACATGCGGTGAATAGCATTGAAGAGATTGTGTCTCCCCGCCTTACACCCTTTTTAATGGCATTCTGTTGCAGTCTTTATGGAGAACTATGGTGGCTGTGGATCCACTCTAGATTTTTTTCCAGTATGTTTATGTAGGGTTCTTCGATATCCTTATATCGTAGTGCCTGCATTACTGCTGATGCCTCGACTGAGTGAAACGCATTCTCGTAATTTATGAAGGCTATGTATAGGGGTTGGTTGTTCTCCGCGATTACCTGATTGATAGTATGAATAATGTCTATTGTAGAGTAGACTGTAAGAAATTCTGATTGGTCCTTTGGTTGACTGAACTCTAATATCGCCGTAATTCTATTAGCTATTTTTTTGTAACTAGTTGGTAGAGAACGGACAAGAAGCTGATCAGCCTGTAATTTTCAAGTTCTTGACATCTTCTTTCCTGTGCAACATATGATGTTGGCGTTCTTTAAAGGCTGGTACTCTTCCCGTTAAGAGACACTTCTTATATGAGGTGGCTAGTTTTTGTAACACAATTTCTCCGCCATTTCTCAGGAGGTCCATTATTACCCTATTCTCACCAGCAGCTTTGCCTGTTTTCATTTGTTCTAGAGCTTTTCTTACTTCTCCTGTCATCATTGATATAGTACGTCGAATTGCTCTGGGCCATTATTGCTTCAAAATATATCATTCTGGTTGTTTCGGCTTCTGTACAACTCTCTGTAGTACTCCTCTGCCACCTCGGCTATCCTATCCAGGTTGGTTATGACACTGCCTTCTTTTTTCCTTAACGCTTACATCCGATTTTCGCCTATGCACAAGTACGTCTTCAAAGATTTTAGCCTTCCACCACTTTTACAGCTTGCAACTCAATTCTATCCATGTTATACCTTCAAATGTAGGCAACCTTACGCCTGTTCATTAACTTCGAAAGCTCCACTAGCACTATTTTGACGGTTGCATTTGAGGCTTTCATGGTTTGTCGTCTATTATTAAGATTTTTCGTCTCCTGAGATATCTGTCAGTG